TTTCTCTCTCTTTCTCTCTCTTTCTCTCTCTTTCTCTCTCTCTCAATAATATTATAAATATGAATAGACGTCAAGAAAATTTTACTTAACAGTTTACAAAAATTGATGCATAAACAGACATACCATTCTGATTGTTTGTTGATGATATCCGATTTCTGGAATTATCAGATGAAATTTCACGTGTCAAAATTGTTTCACTATCTCGCATATCGTTTGCTACCTGTAAAAATAAACAGAAAAAAAAAAAGCAAAAGATTATATGACAGTTTAAATGCCAATAAATTTAAAAATTACAATCATTCATTTGCTGTTAAATGAAAAATTAATAGATTAAATTAATACTTAAATTCTACAAAGCTATTCTATACTTTTATAAAATTTTCATTGGTAATTGGATAATGCAATTCTCGATTTGGTATAATATCCAAATCTTCAGCATATTCCAATAACATTGCTATACTATCGTCAATATTTTCCGATGATCTGCAACGATGATAATTTCAGTCACATCTTATAATCTAATTTTTTTTTAAAAAAAAAGAAAGAAAGCAAATTTTGAATTCTTCGATTTTTTCGGATAGAATTAGAAGTCTCAAATATTATAGGTATATAGAATATTTGCTACTTTTTTTTTCAACAGAAAAACATACTGTATTTTTCTTTTTTCATTCAAACCATCATGTTGCAACATTCCTTGAACTTTCTTATCAGTAGTATGAGATTCCACCTGTATTTTAAAATATTATTGTGTTGAAAAATGATAAAATCATTTGTTTATGCAAACTATTATGACTTGCTGACTTCATTCATTTCAAAATTTCATTTAATTTAATTGATAATATTTTCATTTCAGTGGAGCCATTGAACTGGAAATTTATTTTTCTTTAATAAAGTTTTTTTTAGACAATAAAGAACTCAAAATTGAAAGTTGAACTGGTGAAGAAGCACTTACAGTTTGGTTTAATGAGGAATATTGAGGATCCTCGGATGTTCCGGGTGATTCGGTTGAAGTGATCATAAGTTCCTCACTGTACTGATCGTCAATGGATGATTCGTTGATCCAATCAAATGAACTTGATCTGGATAATGAGTATGGACTTGTTTGAGTACCAGTTTCCTATTTTAAAAAAAAATTATTTTCCTTTGAAATGATAATAAATCACTTCTAATTATTTCAAAACATATAAAATTTAAAATTTTAACAATCATAAGTGGTCAGAAAAAGTTCAGTATAAACGTTAAGATATGTTACTATCAATTTTTATTCAATTTCAAATTGGAAGGAAAATATCTGTTAAGAATTGAAATTTCAATCAACATCTTTCAAACACTTTTTTACCTGCACATTTACCTCAAACATGTAATTTTTGTTTTTAAAGCTATCGTCTCACAACAGTGACTGCTCGAAAGTTTTTAGATATAATTTTCGCTAGAGAAATAGCAATTTTTTTTAACGTCTTTTATCAGACTTCAATTAGCAAAAAAATTATCAAATTTGAGAAAAAAAATGTGATAAATAAATTTTAAAAGCACAGGTTAACAAAATTATCCATTCCCAGCAGACAAATAAATTTAGGACTAATTAAAAAGAAAAACTTTCAAATGAAAAACATACGTCAGTACTCTAAGTATATGCGTGTGCGTGCATGTTTACGTACGTGTGATAAATCTCTACACCTAATCCCGTGTATTTATATACACGTATGTATGTGTACAAATATGAATTTATAGTGATTTAGTGAGTTTAAAATTTCATAGCAATGCACGTATTTGACGTGCAAAAGTTAATTTGAGGAGTTACAAATGTGTAAGCTTCAAAGTAAAAAAGCGTTACAAAAAAATGGCCTAAGTTCGAAGGGCGTGACTTGACAATTCATCATTTTTTTTACAAGAAGATGGACGATATTACGATTGCGATAGAAATGATTGACAAATTGGAATGGCAAAGTTTGATGATGAATGCAACAAGCAATGAAATTATCCAAAAATGTTATGCTGACTTCGTCAACTTTTGTACCCCAAATTAAATTTAAATTTAAATTAATCAATTGATGTTTTTCTTGCTTGCAGTAGCAAAAAACAATACGAAAAAATTGTCGCAAACTTATTTATGCGCAAAATTATCAATAAAAACAAAACTGAACAAATAAATGTGTCACAAACATGCTAATATAAATTGATAAAGAAAAAAACTTAAAAAAATGAAATTAATGCATAATTAAAATCATTCATATCTTCTCTAATTTCAACAATAACTTCATCTTTTTCTAAAAGTTACAAATTTAATTCTAGATTAATTAATTTTCAATTCAATTGTAACATTTATATGTCTTTGCTTCATTTTGTAATCAAGTAATATAAAATTTATATTCAAAATAAATGAATAACATCATTTTCTTCTACAGCTATATCATAATTTTCAAAAATAAACAAAAATAAATGCATGTTTGGCAAACAAATAAACAACAAGCACACAAAAGGGCATCGATGCAGAGGAAATTATTTTAAAAAATTAAAAATAAAATAAAAGAAAAATAAAAATAAATTATAAAATGCATGGATAGAACGGATAGTTTTGATCAAATAAGAAGACATTACTGTAACAAAGAAGACAGTAATAACTGAAAAATATTCAAAAATTAAATTCTCATATTATCATTCTCTTTTTTAATTTTTCCTTTGTAATATAAAATCAACTTTTTTTAAAGAAAAATAAACAATATATATCTTTCTTTTCTTGACTATTTTAATGCAACGAAAATTCTTCATCTGTAATGATAAAATTTTATTAAAAATGTAAATGATAAGAGAGTACCTGTTGTTGTTGTTGTTGTTGTTGTTGTTGTTCGGAATTAATAGTAATGATAGCAGCTGTTGATGATTGTTTCTGTTCAATTTTTTTATTATTAAAATTTAATGATTTCGGTTTATCAGGTGCCTGAAAACGTGTTTCCTCAGCTGCACGTATCAGTGATGCAACAATTCCGTGTACCGATTTACCGTTCCCATCAATATTTCCATTTAAATTTTTATTGGTTAATGTTTGAGTTGTAGTTAAAGTTGTTCCTTTATCAATTGATTGAACAGTTGTTGAATTTGACGTCTCACTGTTGTTTAATTCTTTCCTCGTACCATCAATAATATCATCATTATCATCATCAATTGTTTCAAATTTTTGCGCACGACATTTAGCCTAAAATTTTAGCCATCTTTAAATTGAAAAGCTTTAACCAATTTTTTTTTTTTTTTTGTAAAATCTTTATGTATTAAAAGAGAAAAAAAATTCTTTAGAAATGCAAAATTTGACAATGCTTGAATTTTACAAAAAAAAATGAAAATGCAAAAAGAGGAAATAATTTAAATATCATTTTATCCTTCATTTTTATTTTGCTATTAAAAGCTAAAACCGAAATTATTAAGAATGAAGGATTAATTTTGCTAATTAATAATAATAAAACGCAATGATCTAATTAATTAAAAATATCAAAAATAATATTGGAGAATGCTTTCTAGATCTTTGTCAAGCAATTGTAAATTAAATTAGTATAATGATATAAAGAATAGGCTACAAAAAAAATTGAATTATGAAAATTAAATAGATTAAATTTCAAAAAGCAGCACTTCAACTGCTTCATCTGATAATTTAAGTAAATGGTTCAAAAATATGCAACACAATGTATGTATAATACAGTAATTAATAAGATGAAATTAAAGTAAACAAGTGTAAGTTAATGACTGAGAAATACACTATTAATTAGTTAATGAATAAATTTCAATTATTCCAATGAGGAAAAAATTTACGAATGTCAACGAATGTCAAAATTTTCAACTAATAATACATAATAAATGTAATTTTAATCAAATGTTAAGAATGATCTCTGCAAGATAAGAAATTTTTAAAAGATAAAAATTAAATGTCTTTTCCAATTACCCTTCAAATTTCAATACACGATGCTAATTTTATATCATATGAAAATATATTTCAATGAAAATGATTTTTCTTTCTTGCTCTTAAAAATCACTGAATTTTTCTTTTACACATTGAAATGAAAAGTGAGGAAAAATTGAAATGAAAGAATACACTTTATGATTTCAATTTGAAGAAAAAAAAAATGCACGATAACATTGATTTATGTATTTTAAAAATTGCCTATAATCTCGAGATCTCACGCCTTTTAACTTCAATAGTTTCGAAAATATTTAATCGAATATAAAATTATGCGGTCTTTTCCATATCGAATATATGTAATGTGATAATATGAAATAATGTATTTCATACATTAATGAAAGTATTTATGAAATCGGTCTATATAAGTTATTTGATATTAAAAATAAAAAAAAAAATGTTATGATAATGAATGATTATGTAATTATGATATTAAGAAATATTACGATGGAAGAATGATTATATAATTATGATATTGAAAAATGTTATGATGAAAAATAATTATGTAATTATGGTACCAACAAAATATTATGATAAAGATGGTTATGTAATTATGGTATTGAAAAATGTGATGACAAAGAATGATTACGATATTATAGTGATAAACGTTGATAAATAGGAGTAATGATACCGTTGAAGGTGGAATTGATGATGTTGATGATGAGGGCGAGAATGTACCGGTCACTGTGAACATCATTTTAGCCACCAATACAGACACTTTAAAAGTCAGCTGATCTTCGTTTTAATATTTTTTGATAATTTTATCTTTTTTTTTTTTAAAATCAATATCAATATCAATTTCCTTGTTTCAGAATCATTATTTTCATTGATTACTGTAAAAACTATATTTACACTATTTTCAATGCAATTTTAATCAATTATAGCATACGCGATAGTAAACATTGTAAAAATAGATGCATATGATGATAAATAAGGAATGGGAATGATTAGGATTGTATTATATTTGATAAAGGGTCAAAGGGTAGATATATTAGTAGGAAACAATGACAAATAGTTTAAATTCTAAAAGAGTTTCCTTTCGTTAAAAAGAATTTTTATTACAACAAT